GCCCAGTGGGAAATATTACAAACATAATCAAGACGCTAACATGTTGATGAGATATGCATTTATCAATCATTGCAACAAAACTGACATATTGAAACGGAATTTAATTTGATAGCTCATTAGGTAACATATCACAGGAGATCATCAAACATTTCACCCTTCTTAACACATAAATCTCCTTCATAGCTGATGAGTCTTTGATCTTACTCATAAATGCTATGTACACTTGGCGGAGAAACAAAAAATTTCAATTTTACTTGAAATATTTGATTTGAGCTGGCCGGGAATCAAACCAATGATATCCCGAACTACAGGCTAACAAACACTGTACATACTAGCTTCAAGACACGCGGTCATACCTGGTAGTTTGAGAAGCGAAACACAAGAACAGGTCTCCTCATTAGTATTACAAATACATGTTTATGAAACGTCAACATAATGTCTCTACAGCACTACCAAAACACCTTGCCTAAATTTCCAAACCTTATTTAAAGATAGAATATTTTATTTTCTAGAACCGAAATTATCTAAAACAAATTTTTTTGAGATGTTTAACTTAAATGTTCAATTATTGAAGAGGTTTACTACAGATAGAGCTAAGTGCAAGCATCTCTAACTGATCATTTATATTAATTTAACTATTTAAACTGAAAATCGAATAACAAATCAAGATATATAGATTGCATCAGTGTTAATACCATTTTAAATTTATAGTTTTAAACTTAGATTAGTATGGATAGATACATATGGTTGGTATTGGAGTTAATTCTCTATATCTAAAGCTTATCATAAAAAATAAAGAAATTAGCCGGGTTTTTTATATAAATAAGAATATGTGGTATGAGTGCCAATGAGACAACTCTCCATCCAAGTCACAATGTATAAAAAGTAAACAATTATAGGTCAAAGTACGGCCTTCAACACTGAGCCTTGGCTCACACAGAACAGCAAGCTATAAAGGACCCCAAAATGACTTGTGTAAAACAATTCAAACAGGAAAACCAACAGTCTAATCTATATAAAAAACGAGAAACGTGAAACACCTATGAACCACACCAACAAACGACAACTACTGAACAACAGGCTCCTGGCTTAGGACAGGTGCATAAAAATGCAGCAGGTTTAAACGTTTTAACAGGCCCCAACCTTCACCCTAACTTGATACAGTAGTGTAACATAACAACATCAAAAGACACATTATAAAATATCAATTGAAATGGCTTAACTCGATCAAAAAGACTTTTAAACAAAAACAGGTAAACATACACTGAACGAATAAGTTTGATCTATGGCACAATATAAATACAATAATAAAATGGCGTTAAATAAAACAACGTACACGGGTAAATTTAAATATAATAATATTGTTGTTAGGAGTACGGAAGTGAAAATTTAAGTCTATCTTCCATGAAATAGATGATAAACACGTAACTTATTTAATTAATGATGAGTTGAAAATTTACATTCATTGATAAAGATCAGCTAGAAAATACTTTTAAAAAGTTTATGTGATTACAGATCGTTGCGTGTGGTTGAACGGTACGGTACTCCGAGTCAGTTCAACGTTAAAATTTTACTAGTTTCAGTTGTCTGTAGTTGGTGTATAGAATGTTCTTTTAAACTCAATATCGCGTGACTCGATAGAAAATATATGTCAAACAATGAACGGTTTACTCGTTCAATCATTCTATGAAAACGAGTGACCAACTTACAATCTAGAAATATTGATGTTAATTCATACAATGAACTTTCAGTCTTATTATTAAACGCTGTATAAGGACACTACGGAAAAACTATTAAATTCAAACAAGGATTTTGATAAAAAAAAAAAAAATATGGTAAACGTACTTGTTTTAGCTTCCAGATCCAAATAGTCATTTTTCCTTTTATGAGTGACAACATGCCTATATCATCTACATAGGTTGTCTACATATCAGTTTGTTCACTCCTTACGAGGTTCCATCAACTACGTTGACTTTCATAAGAAAGAAAAATCAGTCACACAAACTGCTCAGTAAGGGTTATATTCAGGCTGAACCGTTATTATCATTACAAAAGTTTTAGTCGCCATATCACAGTATACAATAATAGGGTGTTACCATTGATCGCAGACAATGTCTCTATACGCTTATCGCTATTCTCCTGTTGTATAACCTTCATTGTCGGCGATTCTCCTGTTGCATACCCTTCATTGTCGACTTACTTTAACTACTAGGTAGTAAGGTGAGTGTTTCATTCGAAGCAGGATATGCTTAGTTGGTCTTCCAGTTTACCTACTATCATTCCCAGTTTTGATGGATGTCTTAACTTATTCTGGTATTCGCTATGAATAAAAAGAGACGAGTGGTATACCAAAAGCATCATAAAACATCTAATGGTCAACTTAGATAGTCAACAATAGACATTTGTCTGTACTAAAGTTTCAGCTCTAAATGTCGGAAGTCCAGATGTAAACATGCTTTGAATTAACAGACTGCCAATTGTCATATTCGTTTTAGGTTAAAAACAAAAAAAAAGAAAAGAAGAAAAACTTAATACATGAATAGATATAAACTCTGTCTGTCTGTCTGTCTGTCTGTGTATTTTATTTCATTTTCGTACACTTGTGTTGTTTCTTTTGATTTCTCTCGTTTGTTGTTTTTTTTCCATTTGTTAACGATTTTTGTTGATCGACCCTATTTTCAAAACTAGTTTATCGAAATTTTTTAACTAGATTCGGTGGTTGAAACTAATATATCTCATTCGACGTAGGTATCACATTTCTACCACGCAAGTTTCTCTCTTTTTCTTTCACACTCATCATACGAGTTAAAATTTGAATAGCTCAGCCTACGTTAAAAGAAAGACAACTCTGTTATATCTTGGAAATTAGTTGCAACGGGTATTAGCCCTGATTACAGATCATGTGTCGCGTGGACACAGGATTTGCATTTCAACCAGATTGACATTAATACTATGAAATGTTGTTTTATGAATATGTTATGTTTTTCGTCCGTTAAGGAGGACAACCTGAAACAAGTAGTGTTCTAGTATATTAAATTAACACGATTGGAATATATCCATTGCAGTTTAAATGATGACCATGATCATTTAAATGAATAAAGATGTGGAATATAAGATCTAATAGGTGAATGGACCTCCTTTTGAAACAAACGATTATTTCAACAATGAAACTGAGTGGACAATATCAAATAAAAATCAGGTGTTTGTTTACTTTATTATCTTCTTCAGAGATGAAAAACCTTATCACATTTCAAAGAAGTTTTCAGTTTTCTAAAACACAAAATGCATGTAGTTTTTACATTTTCAGGTCCTGTCGTGCCTTCAAACTTTTTCGATTGACTTCTACAGGTTTGTCTGTACTCGGAATGAATTGTGAGGTGTTTACACGGCCGCTATTGCCAAAATGACCGATATGATATGATAAACTTTCAATTGTTCTAAAATCACAAAAAAAGAGAAATATACATTAAAATATACATGCACAGTACAGTTAACAACAAGATACCTGCAAAAAAACTCAGCTAGGAACGACACAAGATCTGGGTAAGAATGTTAAATTAGAGTATGGTCATATCGGAAGTACACTGAAAATGTACACGATAACAATTCAAAGGGGTTTACGAGAAGGGATATACATGTGTACTGTAATGTGTACATAATTTGCTGAAGGAAAACGCGAAAAAAATTATAGGTGCATCATTTGGTTAAGGTTGTGAGAAATTTCAATAAATGATAATTATGGGCTAAGGAGAATTGCGTAGACAAATGGGTTAACCCCTAATACAGCCATGGTAAATGCCGTGCTTTGAAAGGAAAACTCCAAATATTATATTATATTCAGATAAAAAAAAAAGATGTGCTCAATAGCATTATTTCATATGGTTAAGATTGTGAGAAAGTTTTAATGAATTGAAAAAAGGGGCTAAGCAGGTGTGAAGTTGCGGATACAAAATGGGTACCCGCAAATAAAGCAATGACAATACTTTGTTGAAGGCCGTACGTTAACCTATAGTTACTAACTTCTATGATGGGGAGCTCTCCTTTTGGCAATCATACCACATCTTCTTATTTTCATCATTTCGGTTAGGTGAACCTCAAAAATAATTCTGACCAACAAAATAAGAGCACATTGGCATTATATGGCTAAGATTCTGAGAAATTTTTCTCAATTATGATTGGAGGTTTAGAAGAAGAGAGGCGAAAGATACCAAAGGGATATTCAAACTCATAAGTCGAAAATAAACTGACAACCCAACGGCTAAAAAAGATAGACCAAAAGAAGTGGCTACAAATGTGTACACTAGTGTACATATATGACGTTCATGTCATCCCAAATTTAAGTAAACTCCAAAAATCATTGAAGATTCAAATCTGCATACATATATATTTTTATTAAATCAATTTATATTACTTTTTTCTGTAAATACTTTAAAACTGTATATTACATTGTACATTTGCTTTTAAATATGTTTACAAAATATTTCTTTATGAAAAAAATATTTGCAAAACGACTGCTTTCAATTCGATATTCTTACACAGTCATCTAAATAATACAATATCTACTTCATAAATTCTTTTTCACATCTTTCCTGGACACTTTTAGTAAACCTCAAAGTAAAGATGTTGAATCAAATTTACTTTCAGATTATTATAAACAAAAGAAGTTCTGAAAATACCCATTAATTCCAAATACCAACATTTCAAATATCAAGAAACTTCCAAAATTAAAGACAAAAAGTCGTACAGAATTGACAGAAACACTGTATGCTAACGTCATATTTTGAATATTGCACATGTTCCAAGATAAATATTTAGGTTTTATTCATTCAAGTAACAACCTTTCATGTCTTTACGTGGCACATATTCACAATTTGTCATGACACGGGGCGAGTCGAGTTGACATTTACGACAAACATGACATATTGTATAATGATGACCACTTTTATTCAAATGTATTCAGATTGTTTTTCTTGTTAGGTTGCTGTATCAATGACATTAAAAAAAATATCAACCGAAATACAAATACAAACTTCATACAAATTAGACCTTCATTTGCCTAAAATTATAAGTGAATCTTAGTTAAATGCTACAATATCTAAGAGTATAATGAATATTCACATTGCTTTGCTCCTTAAAATATATCACGGAAAGAAAAATGGTAAAAAATAATGTTGTACGAGTTTTCAGGAATGCCCATAAACAATAAATTATAACAGCAATATAATTTGTATATAAAATATTTAAATAACAATAATTTTCTTTATATCTGTAACATCGAACCTAATAAAACAGTTATATTAATATCACAGCTGTTACAAATTTATAAATTGTATACAAATCTGTATAAAATTATGTTAATATAATATCAATGCCCATTTATTTCATTTGATAGTGACTGACTAGTTTTGTGATAACTTAAACATTTTATCTTGATTTCGTTCAGCTCTTACATAATTCATTATTTATATCTCTTCATATGTATACCCAGAACTTTTAAAACACGGGCAACAAGAAAATGTAATAGATGATGATTTTTTGGGGATCCCATTATATGCTTTGGTGTCCCAGTCATAGACATGAATTTGAGAAAATTTCGTACCACGCATAGCAACAACTAGTTTTTCGTGGTGTATTCCAATATTCGTTGGTTTCACGTCCATTCCAAATTCATAGGTATTACTGACTGGACATGTGATGAAGTCTCCCTCTGGTGAGAACATCTGTACACGGAAATTATTGGCATCTGCAACGTAAATGTTGTCATTGTCATCGACGCAAACGCCCATTGGGTAAAATAGTTCGCCATTTTCAGAACCTTGATTTCCTATTGTCAGAAGAATTGTTCCATCGTTTTTATGAACTTTTACTCTGTGGTTCCCACTGTCAGATACGATGACGTTATTTTTACTATTTGTGCAAACGTAGTATGGTAAAAGAAAGTGATTGAGGCCACTACCACGTGACCCAAATTTGAAAGACGGTTGTTTCCTTTCGGTAAAAAATTGAACGTTGTTTTGTTGTAAACTTGTCACAATAATTTTATCTTGTCTCGTTACTGTAATACCAAAAGGGTTATCATATTTATAGAAAGATCCGAAAGAACCAATGAGTCGCCCATCTAACCCGTATTCTCGGATGTTATTAGACCCAGCACGACTAACAGACAAAAGAACAGTGCCTGCTCTTGTTAATGTGGCGTCACGTATCGAACAATCGCAAACAAATTCACATCTAAATTCGCCTCGTAGAGAGTAAACCAAAACTTTGTTTAAACTACAGTCTGCAATAACAATGTCGTCTGTTACCTTGGAGATAGTAAGTCCTGAAACATGAACTAAACCTTGTTGTCCAACACCGAAATGTCCGAACTGAATCAACAGTCTCGCGTTTTTGTGGTTTGTAAATACTACACGTCCTTTACCCGGCTGCAGAACTGATGTTAGTTCAGTACAGTTAATACTATTCCTACCATAACTACCAGAAAGTTCTTTGGCACTAATTTCTCCGCCGCTAGATTCTACTGTGTCTTGTAAACTTTTGATGAAATAATTGTCAGGAAATCCACTTATTCCATTTTGAGGGACATATATGATCTGAAAAAAATGATATGGGATTATTACACTACGGGAAAAAAAGAGTTAATATAAAATTTTCCCTTAAAATCACTCAAGTTTATTCCTTGTGGTAGTTTATAATGGTGTAACAGTGGCAGGCTTCGGTTGGGGTGGTCAATGGCTAATGAAAGGGGTCAATACTGGACCCCTGGGACATGTATTCGCGTCAAGTTCGATATTGGATTAACTTGTTCCGCTTTCAATTTATTTGAATAAGCTAGATATACTGTTAACTGCATATTTCAGCAATTTAGGACCACGAAAAATACTAGCTTTATACCACAACTACAACGATGACAAAGCTACAATATATAATGAAAACATGTGACAAATTGCCTTAAATATGATTGTTAAAAATCTCATAACTCTGGAATGACAATTCTAGAAATTTCTAAAATTGAAAGGGAGCTTTTTCCAATCCTAACATTGTTAACAATATAAAGAGAGAAGAAAATTTTTCAAAGCATCCTTGCGTTGGTGTGAGACATGTGAAGAGACTCAAATCCGATAGTTAATGTCTCATAAATCTATAACAAAAAAGTTGGAAAAAATTGGAATGCATATTGTTTTTACTAATCTCAACAATAATGTAAAGTTTGAAGTAAATCGATCCTACCATACGCTAGTTAGAAAAAAAACTCATATCTGATGATTTCAATTAAGTGCTGCAACTCGAAAAGTTTTCAAAATCGAAAGGGACGTTTCTACAAATATTCCATACAATTTCAGAATTGGTATTGAAACATTCTCTAGATTTTGTAGGACGTAATGACGGTCGAAAAACGAAAGGACGAACGGACAGACACAAATATATAGCGGTATACAGTAGACGGGAGCAAACTTGGCGTATACAACCGTGACATTGTTTATGAAACAGCAAACCAATGATACACATAATTGAAGGACACATTAACATCAACAGTAAACAGGTGTCAATACAGTTTAATTCTCACTCTAAATTGCCCCGAGTCTAAAAAAGTTGAGCATGAAAAAATGAAACAAAAACTATCAAAGATCGGCCATCGACACAAACTTCTTCAAAACATAAAAAACGACTGACGAGGTTCCTGGCTAGAGCAGGCAACTGAATATAAGGTGGGATTAAAAAATATAGGTTTCATTGGGTTTTTGCTTTTGGATCTCTCTTCTCCCTTTTTCCAAGGCTTGACCAATGGAATTGCAAATGGTTCATAGTTCATATGTGTAAATAATTTGACGCTTTTCATGACTTGGTAACACTTTTTTTTTTATATAAACCGTTTTAATTTATTAGTATCATTTTTGTTAATTCAAAATTAGATTAAGTTTTTGAACTACATTAAAGGTGCATTGAATCCATCGATCGGTTGTCTGCTTAATCGGTTGCAATGCTCTCAAACCAGTCTAAAATTGTTGTTTTAATAGAAAACTTCGAAATGCTGTCCATGCTGTGATTAAAAATTATACGTTCATGTGAATTGCATAATAGTAATTCATATTTCAACATCTTTTAAATAATACATCGACTGGTTCATTTGCTACTCAGTTAAAATACTCGAACGCAACTTTTATCTCAAAGTGAAAGTAGAGTTCAACTTTTATATACATCTGAATATTAGCTTAAGATAATTGATTCACTAAAATTTATACCTGTCTGCAAACTGGACAAGGAAAATGACCAAGATTTTCATAGCGACTAACTATATAATCCCGGATACAATCTTCACAAAATGAATGTAAACACGACAGCGCCTTTGGCTTTGTAAATGTCTGTAAACATATCGGACACGATAAGAAAGTTTCTTGTATTTCACCAACAAGTGCGTTACTTGCCATTACAGTAAAATACTATAACACTTTTCCTTGGTGTCTCATATGCACAATATAGATTATTATGACTATGTAATAGCCACATGACAGCCGGAAATTTTCGAGTACAGGTGTGCCAGTTGTTATCATCAAAACAAGACGATAACTGCAGAGAAATCTTTTAGCCGCATCTATTTATAGCTTCATTGAAGTAGCACTCTAAAAATAGTCTTAAATTACCGTATCGCCTATAATCTTTTTTTTTTAAATCCGAAGTATTCAAGTGAAGCAGAAAATATCAATGACAGGCCAACGTCCTTTTAGGCTTCTCAATAAATACTTTAGATTATTAAAACGTAGACCACTTGCTTTGTGAAAAATAGTTCAAGTTAATTATTGATTTATTATTTTACAGGTATATTTGTAACACTAATTTGTTAAGTATTTTAATTTATAATCACAATTGTAAATAAATCGATCAATCTTACATCGTAATGTCATAAATGTTATATGACTGCTTTCTGTATCTATCTTGAAAATAAATATTTCCAATCGGCTGTAGGAAGACGAAATAATTACGGTTGAGATACTTGTGGAGGCCTAGCTGCTACGAATGAATCCGACAACAAAGGTAGGCGTGTTATACACCATTGTGTAGATAAATCAATTTAGATTTACGGCATAACAAGTTTAAGTGGGGTAGACAACCGAGAAATCGAAATATAACGGAAGTTCGCGACCCGGTGACAGTTTTCAAAAATGCGAGTTAAGTACGTACCTTGTGTTATATTAAGGTTTATAGGATTTTTTTTTCAGTCGGGTGCCTGTAGTTTGAACTGGGTTTCTGTGGTATTGTACAATTGTTATGAAAAAAAAGGTGACAGTTTGTTTATCGAATAGGATTTGCATTTGTGTCATGATTGAAACGATGTTTTTCTTTTTTTACAAGAAACATACTTTTTGAGTTTTGGGTCTCATTGCAATTCCATAAACTGGTAATGATTATATCATTGAAATGTAATACAATTCTCTCGAAATTTTTGTTTCTGTAACGTTTTGACATGCATGTTTATCCTTTTTTTTTTGTGGGTCAAATATGGTCGAAAAACGAAGTAAGTCTTTAAAAAAGAATATGGACAATGACTTAATAATGACAAAAACATTAACAAAAGTATTGAAATTAAGCGAATCACATAGAGAGTGGTGGTGTTGGGACATTGATAACTCTTTTTGTTTTTAAAGGTACAATTATGATGAAATAACAACGTCTAAATTATTTGAGAGTGTTTCAGGTCAGGAGGGATGTTAGTATTTTTGTGATTTTTAAGGTTTTAACATACTAATCTGTTTAATGAAATGTTGAGGGCTGCTTGATGTCAATAGACTTCGCCGAGTTGCTAACATATGATATTATACGTCCCTGTTTAAAGTGTAAGTTTGACCATCACCCAGTTTAAGGGATTTATGTATAATGAGGCCATCGTCATGAACCAAACATTTGAAAGCAAAGAATATGTAAATACGCTGAAACGTTGAGAGCTATATGAACAATAAGGACAGACACTTAATGCCCTTCGCATGAACAACATCATAGATAAAGATTTTTAAATGCTATTTAACAGTGACATTTTATATAAATGGGTCATTACAAAACAATACACAAGACAACGACCATCATTACAGTGATGATAGATGGTGACTGCAATGATAAAATGTCCGTTAAACAATAATTGGTAACGAATGGATAAAACTTTGTTTTGTAGCTTTATTAACATTTCAGTCTTTTAATTACGACAATCACGTAATATGTTGCATATTGTAACTTGATTAAGATATGCTAATACTGCAACGGTCCGTGTAACACTTATCAATTCAAAATTTCAAAAAGTTTTCAAATTTTAGTTTTTTGGATTTTTTATCAAAGTTTTAAAATATCAAAATTCCAAATTTTTTTCATTTTTTTTTAAATTTTGAAAATTTCACCAAATAATTAAAATTTCAAAATTATAAACTTCGTTTTAAAATTTAATAGTTTAGATATTTAAGAAAACTTTAAAAATACTAAACTGAACGTACAGTTTTGATCATTTCGCTTTTTGAAAGTTTGAATTTTTTGATTTTTGATTAAAATATAGGAAAGGGGGAAAGGACTAAAATGTGGATACCTGTTACAAGTGCAAAACGGAATAAGAATGGAAGGAAACGAAATGAAATTTACCAAAACAAATCAAAACGAAAACAATATTTTCTGAAAAAACTAAATATAATGAAAATTTAAAAAGGCTAACTTGTGACCTACCGAACTACTTATTACCGGGTTTGTAATAACATGAGCAACACGACGGGTGCCACATGTGGAGCAGGATCTGCTTACCCTTCCGGAGCACCTGAGATCACCCCCAGTTTTTGGTGGGGTTCGTGTTGCTCAGCCTTTAGTTTTCTATGTTGTGTTTTGTGTACTATTGTTGGTCTATTGGTCTTTTTCTTTTTTAGCCATGGCGTTGTCTGTTTATTTTCGACATATGAGTTTGAATGTCTCTCTGTTATCTTTCGTCCCTCTTTTGTTTGATCTACAGGGTGAAAAAGAGAAATCTGTTTCTTTAATTCTAAAAAATAATTAGTAAGACCTGATTTTGACACACTTTGATTCTCTAACTAAATAAACAATATGCAGAAATTACTTGTCGACTATGTGATTACTGCTATTTTTTAGACAGCGAATAAAAGGAAACAGGATATTCGATTTTTGAAATAAGGGATAGTTCCGTATTTGTTATTTGCACTTTTGTAAGGTATCGTGCGACAATCAGCTTTGAGCAAAATACAAGTACGCAGCCACGTCCAGTCAGAATGGAGTGTATAGAGAGAGTGCCACGCTCTCTGCACGTTACGAACCGTAACAACAACTCTTTGAGTGGTTTGTTGATTGCAAAGTTTCTGTTCCTATCCAATATACCCTCATTTTCCAATTGCGATCTAAATTTGCCGACCTTCATCCTAAACGGACTCTATTACAGGACCTACCTATTGTATTTATTGTTAATTTGTTATCGTCCTGAACATGCATGAAATATTTGCCACTGGCAACCAACAATCAATCATTTAAAATAGGCCGTTTATTTATATATTATAAAAAAAACTCAGGTTTCAACTCCCTTGGGCAAAATTTCCCTTAGATGAATTTTGCTATTTGTAATGTCCCTTTTGGCAATACACCTCTTCAATTGTTTCGGTTCTTATATTTACTTGGCTTCCAAATATTCTGCTTTGAGCGTTCCGGATGTAGGTAAATACAGAAAAGCGCTTCGGACGTTTGCGGTCAAGTGTTGTTTAAATTTTTATTGGAGATTCCATTCACTTCAAATGTTATTGTCAACGGGAAATAGTACATGGGCGGATTAAGGTTTTTGTTACTGTAATCTAATTTATTGCGGGGAGTTCTCTTTTAGTAAAAAATGTGTTTTTATATTATTTTTTTTCTGATTTTTCACTGCTATTCCTAATCTTTGTTATCCCTAGTTTTAAAACTCATGAGTTCGCCTCTGTAATATGTATCAATCATTTTATTATTGACTGTAAATACAAAGTTAGCATGAGATTGAATTGAAAAGACTATGAATCCCCTGTACTCGGTGCTAAAGACCGTTTTAAAAAGCACCCAGAGATTTCTTATATATCGTAATACTGCAAGATTATTGTAAAATATTTTCAGTACAGAAAATTAACATTAAATCGAAAAAGGTTAAATTTGATCAATATTGAAATATATTTAGTGACTTCAATTGAAGAGGTGTATTGCCAAAAGGGACATTGAAAATAGCAAAATCCATCTAAGGGAAACTTTGTCCGAGGGAGTTGAAACCTGAGTTTCTTTATAATTTATATATAAACGGCCTATTTTAAATAATTGATTGTTGGTTGCCAGTGGCCAATATTTCATGCATGTCCAGGACGATAACAAATTAACAATAAATACAATAGGTAGGACCTGTAATAGAGTCTGTTCAGGATGAAGGTCAACAAATTTAGATCGCCACTGGAAAATGAGGGTATATTGGATAGGGACAGAAACTTTGCAATCAACGAACCACTCAAAAAGTTGTTGTTACGGTTCGTAACGTGCAGAGAGCGTGGCATTCTCTCTACACGCCCCATTCTGACTAGACGTGGCTACGTACTTGTATTTTGCTCGAAATTGATTGTCGCACGATAACTTACAAAAGTGCAAATAACAAATACGGAACTATCCCTAATTTCAAATATCGATTATCCCGTTTCCTTTTATTCGCTATTTAAAAAAAGCAGTAATCACAAAGTCTACAAGTAATTTCTGCATATTGTTCATTTAGTTAGAGAATCAAAGTGTGTCAAAATCAGGTCTTACTAATTATTTTGTAGACTTAAAGAAACATATTTCTCTTTTTCACCCTGTAGATCAAACAAAAGAGGGGCGAATAGACAATCAATAGTACACTAAACACAACATAGAAAACTAAAGACTGAGCAACACGAACCCCACCAAAATCTGGGGGTGATCTCAGGTGCTCCGGAAGGGTAAGTAGATCCTACTCTACATGTGGCAACCGTCGTGTTGCTCATATTATTACAAACCCGGTAATAAGTAATTCTGTAGGTCACAAGTTAGCCTCTTGTTTTATAATTTTCATTATATTTAGTTTTTTTCAGAAAATATTGTTTTCGTTTTGATTTGTTTTGGTAAATTTCATTTCGTTTCCTTCCGTTCTTATTCCGTTTCGCACTTGTAACAGGTATCCACATTTTAGTCCTTTCCCCCTTTCCTATATTGTAATCAAAAATCAAAAAATTCAAACTTTCAAAAAGCGAAATGATCAAAACTGTACGTTCAGTTTAGTATTTTAAAAGTTTTCTTAAATATCTAAACTATTAAATTTTAAAACGAAGTTTATAATTTTAAAATTTGAATTATTTGGTGAAATTTCCAAAATTTAAAAAAGAATAAAAAAATTTGGAATATTGATATTTTAAAACTTTGATCAAAAATCAAAAAAAATAAAATTTGAAAAATTTTGAAAATTTGAATTGATAAGTGTTACACGGACCTGCAACGTTTACTTCATTATATATAGCAATGGTTTATAAAATCAACAATGACTTGACC